TTCAGAAATGTCTTTCTGTGTCTTACCCTCTTGCTTGAGGGCGTCAATGATGGCCTTCTGGACAGCAGTCAGGTCAGCAGTCTTACCCWTGATTGTGGTTTTGAGTAATGAACCAGGCTGGGAGTTTTTAAAAGCCTCAGGAATCTTTTTCAGGTGTTTAGAGTTAATTCGTTGATTCAGATGATTAGGTTAATAAGTCGTTTAGAGAACCTTTTCATGATATGCTAATTTTCTGAGATAGGGATTTTTGTTTTGTTGCCAAAATCATCAATTTTAAAACAATAAAAGGCTTGAACTACTTCAGCTGGTGTGCAATGAATCTAAAATGTATGAAAGTTTAATGTTTATCAGTACATTACAGAAAATAATGAACTTTATCACAATATGCTATTTTTTGAGAAGGACCTGTATTCCCACATCTACCCAACACTGGCTCAACAGAGTGTGGTCCCACCTGTGCATTTCACGCCTGCATCATTCTCATGGGTGCAGAAGGAGTTCTTGTTYAGGAAGAGATTGCAGTGAATCAGACTGGATTCATGTCCGGTGCACTGGACAGAGTTCAAGGCTATCAGCCCGCTGCCCGGACCAAATTCGGCACCGTGAGAGAACTCTGCAAACCCGCAACCCAGCTCCAAGCACACCACATTAGCTGCCCGCATATCCCATCCATGGTCGCAGACAGTCCCCCACTGTCCGTGGAGGTTCACTTCCACTATGCCGGAACAGTGATCTCCATTCACTACTCTGATCCCACCTAAACCAAAAGCAGCCACTACATCCCAAAGAGCACCCAATAGGCCTGTGAGGGAAAGAAAGAACAGCAGGTAAATTACAGGCTCTTTGCAAAACAAGCAAATAACAATAGTCGTTATTTACACTTAAATAGTTAAAAGTTTTGTGCACTTGATACAAATCTTATCTGTTTACCTTTCAAACCACCTCTGAGTTTGGTTTGAACCCACTATGTAAAAACTGTTATTCAGGTGTTTTGGGTACTACCAGAATATGTCAAACAGCAAATTTAGGCTGGTGGTCAYATGGTGTCAAAGTGGTGCACGAGACCACAAAAAACAGCATCAGACACAACAAACCAAAATTGCATTCAAATATCCACATGCTAAGAAAAATATATAAAACTGATCAATTAAACTGATGCCTTTTCGAAAAAAAGAGTCATTTCAGAGCATACAATTTTCGTTTTATATAGCCCATTTGTGGGTTTCTTGCAGTAAAAAAGAGAAAAATGTCCAAGCAACTTTCTACAAAGATACACATGCAAACATGTTTGTGTCAAATTTCCACACTTTAAATCCCTGTATATGTACAAAATTGTTTTTTTTTTGTTTTTTTTTGTGATTTGATTAATAAAAAAATGATTTAATCTAATTAGGAATAAGTAACACATGGTATCCATGCTTTTGGAAATACCGGAATAAGTGTTAGTGCTCACAACAACGTTAGTTTTTATCTAATGTGGGGGCTTTTTTCTTTATATGTCGCAGAATATGAAGATTTATATTCAGGTGTACTTCAAACCCTCTTAAAAATAATGCTGAACTAATATGACGACAGAAAAAAAATAATAAGTTCCGGAATATTTTTTAAAAAGTGGGTGTTCAAAATGTCATATTTTGTCTGTTTATGTGATGCTCTCATGTTGTCACGTTGCATAATCACATGAAAAAAAGCGAAGGTTTTAACACAGCTGACATCTCCTAAACAAGCAGCGCTAACTGTTTTAGGCTTACCTGCTAAAAAGATATGGAGGAATGTCAGCATCATTCCGTCAGCCTTCCATCAGACGTGAAGATAGCCTGTAGTTTTGGTGATAATGACAGATGCTGGAAAAACACCCGAAAAACCACACCGTCTGCTAACGAAGCTAGCGGCTAACCGATAGCCTACTCTACTGCTCACGCGGGACGCAACAGAGTAGCGACGTAGCTTAAGTYGAGCTAAATAGTGTTTTAACACTGCGTTTACATAATAATAAAAATGTTTTCTTGGCTTAATTTCAGTGGCTGAAGACTCGAATTGCCACTCAACATACCTACGTCCAACCGACAGGGGTTTCATCCCGGAGTCCMAACACCGGCGCATGGAAATCCTTTTCCCTGCGGCAGATAGAGGTCACCACAGGCCGCAGTTAAAGCCCGGCCTTCTRTTTCCGGAGGCTCGGCACCCAGAGGGCGTGGCTTCACGGATACTCAAATTTCTGCTGTACACATTTTCGTTTAAACACCTATARTTCCCTGGGCACATCCAAATAATGTAAAATTAATCCATAGCAGATAATTGAAGTACTCAAAACTTTAGAAAACCATAATGACTGATTTTATAGTCAGTATATGTAAACAAACATATTTTGTAAGATTGTGATTTTTGTTTTTGTAAAATGAGTAGAAATTGTGGAAAATGCCACTGAAATTGGCCTAATTTGAGTCATCTGTCCTGGCATTTTTGCAAAATTGTTGTGTTAAATCTGAATTAAATTAAAACTACTACCACAGTACACTTTTAATAATCGGTATCCGTAAACCCGACTGATTTTTAACCAATTTTGTGCTTAAATTCAGCTACGGCAGCTATCTTGAATAGGGTTGACTCKGAAAGTGTATTRGTGGTAGATGTACATCCAGTGATTACTACCCGCAACTTTTATTAAAATTCATCCTGTGACTCATGAGATATTTTACTAACAGACTATCACATGCACATGAACCAAAACATCACCTAGTCCTTCTCTTTTGGTGGCTGGTCATCACATTATAGGCCTGGTGAATAAATAGACTTCTGTGTGATTACTGTGCCACCAACTGATGAAACMCTGAGTAAGTGATGATTTACCAAACCTATAGTGGCTGTTTTCACTTCAGGGAGGAACAATGTGCTTCGCCCTGCTGTGGTCCTCACACACATTCAGGAGTCTGTTCTAACCGGTTAGGGACAACTATGTGGTTGAATCAGCCAAGGGAAGCAGGAACAGGACAATTAGCKGATTCATGGCCGCGTTGTTGAGAAGTTACACACACAACAAATGACTGACAGACACAGATTAAGGCCTTTTTCAATTTCCCATCAGTTTCCTGCCTTTCACAACTAGCCTAAACATAAATGGAGCTGAAGAGACTTCAGCACGATCAAAGKGTTTGTGTTTGTCAGGCTGTTTTGCTCCATAAACCTTGATCAGTTTCACATCGAGCTGGGTACAAGTAAAGTCCAAATCCAGGAGGATCACTACTAACAAAATACCATATTTTTGTAYTTAAAAGCTGGCTTTTCTTTAAAAAGAAAAATCTTGAATGATCACAGTGTCTCTGACTCTACTGATATACTAAATATGTGTTTTTAGAACAATAACCATTAAAAATGAGAAAAGTGAATTTTTTTCTTGTGGAAGTGCAGTGAACGCTGGGAAAATGACTTTCCCAAAGAAGACAAGGAAAACAGAATCGAAAAGAAGCAAATTAATAGCTGAAAGGAACAGAAGAGCAAAAATTTAAAAATTGCAGGAGCAATGTACAAGGAGCAAAACTGCAGCTAAAAGCATTAGTGGACAAAAACAGACCAAGTATGGAAGCAGATATTAAAGAATACTTTTGAAGAAATTGAAAGGATCTCAATGAATTTCTAAAGATAATAAAGTTATAAACTTTTAATAAAATAGGAGCAAACTTTGATTTATGAATGATAGACAAGATAAAATTCGCAAAAGTAGTAGTATTTGAGCTCAAATACAGATGGAAAAAAAAGGCAGGAAAACAACTTCCAGGTTGATAATTTTACCAAAAAAGGTGCCAGTTAAGACTTTAAATGTATTTTCAGTCAAGTCTAAAGTCTTTCAAATAAATTCATGCCATGTTTCATCACTGCGCTCCTCAAACAATAAAGACCACCTGAACATTATTACTTTATTAACTCGTGTTTTTGATGYGTTTCATTCTTGAGGTCAAGCCAAGATCCAGGTACTTATTTTGTAAAAGATGAACATCTCCATAAAGAAAGAACAAACATAACTCTGTAGATTTGAATATTTATGGAAAAATACAATAAATCTCTCTGTAGCTCCGAAGTCAACTTCAAAATATATAACAAAAATCGTAAGGTAGCCTGTGTTAAAGCAAAGAACAGCATTGGACATTTTTCAGAATGATATCCCTTCTTTAAATACGACTCTGTCCGTCTGTTCAAGTGTTACAATATAACAAAGAAAACATTAATTTACAAAAAAAAATAATTTAGTTAACTTAAAACTAGTCTTCTACAAAAATGACCTCTTCTTCCCCAACAGGTTTGGAGTTTTAATAAGTACCATAACTTGAGTTGTTTTGTTAAAACTCCTAACAAGCTTTAAATTAAATGTGTCTAAAGCTCTGTGGACAAGCAGTACAAGCAGCTACAGTTTCATCAGAACAGTTCGTGTTGCAACCACGTCAAAAACATGTTTGTGCTATGTTTTCAGAAGTCTCTCGCCCAGTGTGTCTCAGGGTTTTTTTGTGTGTGACATCCATTGTTCGACGGGCAAGTTTCAAATGTGTCATCACTTGGACTCTCCCAGCAGATGCACAATGAGTTCGTACGTGGAGAGGACGATGGCTGTGTTGGGGATTTGTCTGATTAGCTGTGGAATGAGTCCTCTGTAAAAAGCTGCATAACCTTCCTCCACCCAAATTAACCTCCCGGTCTGAAAGAAATAGTTATACTTGCTGCCTTCTTCACGCAGCCTTGTCCGAATGACCTCTGTGGAGACACAAGGGTGAAACAGTGAGGTCTTTAAACACTTGTTGCTCCAACACTGGGTTGTGTTCTAAACTCATGTTATTTACCGTGTGGGTAGGCTATGCAGGAAGCACAACCCTTTGAAAAAGCCGCCGCCATCATCAGACGCAGGAAGTCTGACGCTCCTTTCTCCTTTTCACCATTTGAGGAGGCGAACTGTCTCTTGGCGAGATGTTTCTTCAGCGCCTCGTAGATGAGGAAGCAGATCATGGTTTCTGAGATGCCAGCGTAGGACGCAGTCAGGCCGCGGTAGAAGCCCCGGACTCCCTCTTTTTTGTAAACGTAGCGAGCACACTGAAGTGCATTCATCTTCTTCTCTCCTCTGGCTCTGAAAGTTCAACACGAATGGCTTATTAGCAATATAAAGATGTTTTTTTTTTCACGCTCAATTGAGAACATTATAAAAACAGCAAACCATTCATGAATATTTCAGGAAGCAATTTGTAGTTATGGTGCTGGTCAAATATTTTTAATGCTTTATACACTATACTTTTAAAAATTATTTTACTTAAAGTATTTATTAATTTCAGAATGGCTACAACCTGTCTTTAATATAACTGTATATTTGGTGATTTATTTATGCTGGCGTGGCAAACATCCATGTTATCCTGCTAGCTGTTTGATGTACAGTATGTCATTTCTAAAATGGAAACAGATTGTAATTATCTCGCTAAATTTGCTTGGTTGCAAATATCCGAGCTGCACACAGACCAAGCAGGAATCAATGACCAAATTTATGATGCAAATCTTTGTGGACGCAAAAAACAAGAAGTTCTTGTCAAGTAAATTAGTCATCTTTAAACTGTATAATGAATTTAAGTTTTCCTTCCCTGTGAGAAATGACTGACTAAGTTCACTAGTCTTTTGTCACCAAGTAATGTAGCAACGTAGGATGAGGTAATCCTAGAAAAAAAATCCCTAGGAGGGTATGGGAGGGAAAGTTTGACTGAAATTGCTCAACCTTCACCTCCGTCATTCTTAAAACCACCAACTTGTGCTTCAGGATATAATTTAATTCTTTAAAGGACAGTAGGGGGTTCTGTGAATTCACATGATACTACTGCTCTGTACCTGGTAATGTAAATATAGCCTTGTGCCTGAAGGACAGTGCGTCAGCACTGCGTATTTATAAATGGAGGTCACATGCTTAGCCTCATGCACTGCAGAATGGTGGGACGATGCAAAGAGGATACAGCCCCCTCTAAAAAAGGTTACTGCTGAAGGTCAATTATACTTTGCCACCTGCCAACAGCCTAAAATAAGTCAAGACTGTTTTACACAGACTCGTAACAGAACACTACTGTGTGTCTAAATATTAAAACACGTTAACACATGACAGATGTTAGTAAATACTTTAGGACTTTAACACGTACTTTTTCTCCAGCTGCATCCTCGTCTTGATCATCCAGATGGGGTTCATCAGAGAATTGGTAACAAAAGCTGAGAAAAATCAAAAACAATGATATGTGAAACATCGTAAAACTGTTCATGCAGGATGTTTATGTTAGAACCACTGAATAAACATAAAAATCCAAAGGACTAACATTCTTTGAAGGATWGTATTTTCCCATGACACCTTTCATGTTGACGTTTTAGACAGGGATCACATACAATATTRCAAGACATCCTGCTCAAAGTATCTGTTGTGATAGACTCTCAGCTGCACCACATTTTAGCACAATATCTGTAAAATTATCTAAATTTTAACAAATTCTGTGTTTAGTATTAGTCAGCTGTGGCAGCCATCTTGAATTGGACTGATTTCCTTCATGAAAGATTCATTAAAATTCATCCAGTGATTTCYAAGATATTGTGTTAAAAATGCAAACACGCACACAAAATCATCATTGCACACCTTTGTCTTTCGGTGGTGGACAAATATGCAAGAGGCTGCTCACCTGCAACACCAGCTGAAGACATATGGACTAATCCACTGTTGGGGACAAACAGCCCATTGAACATCTCTTTCGACTTTGAGTAAGCAGTAAAGTAAATGGCTCTGAATGAAACACAGAAACACTGATAAGAACACAAACTGGAAGCAGCTGCAGATTTAATCACAGTCTCACCAGAAAGAGTGTATTTTCACMATGTGAACGTGACTTTATTAACTGTGCGATTATGTAACAGATGAGTGTGAGCAGGTGTCCAGTGCGATCTGTTTTTCTGTGCCAKTTTACCGTGTTTGCCTTCTGGAACAGAACATCGCTGCACCAGAAAGAGCTGAATAAGCATTGAGCTCAGGAAAAACCCACAGAGCTTTTCTCAATGCCAACCTTTCTAAAGGCTGGCCAGAGATTAGGGTTCCCAGCATTTCATGAGAACAAAATTCCCGGAGATGTCCCTGATTTCTAGAGTCACTGGGAACCCTGAAAATAATGATGTGGCTACTATTCAACCACAGAATCCTTTATAAGTAACTCTTTCAGTYTCATAGTCCAAATCAATGTTTTCTTTGCCACATGTATACAGATTACCAGTTCCATTTCACGATTTATACCGATTTGTTGAAACAGAGTTTACATTTAATATTATCAGCACTGAGGAAACAGGACAAAGTACTGTTGGCACTAAAAATAGAACAAAGGTGAAATTGAAACTTGCACACAACATTGAACTTTTGCACGCAATATTTTGACATTATCTAACCATTTCTGGAGTAATTAGTTATCATTTGTGGTACAAACATCAATATCTGAGGCTCTATAAAGATAGATACCAAATACCAAACGAGCCTACTCATGTTGACAAAATTAACAGCTCATTCAAACTTTGCACCATGATATGGGCCACAAAGTCATTGTTATGACAACAACTTCCTGTTTATAGAGCAGAGAAATGTTTCCAGCTATTAAAACAAATCTGATATAAAAGACATCCTTTTCTCTGGCAGCTTTAGTGATATAAGCTCTTGGAGTCTAAAGAAAATGCCTAAAAGTTTTTCAGGCTCCTCTTTGCATGTAATTTGTTTATTATGAATTCATGACGACATTCAAATGTTGTCTATTAAATGCTAATGTGAAATACGGATGAACAAAGCTAGATCAGAGGAAATAAAGTAAATAAAATTATTACTATTGTTCTTTACCTTGAAGGGGCAACACCAACAAGATTAGGCCCCAGTCCACGAAAAAGAGAACTTGGTCCCTCTTTTTCAAGAATTGATCTGAAATGAAAGCACGGGGGAAAATTTACCAATCTGTCATGAATATACAACATAACTTATTTCATTTTGGAACATTGTCAGATGATTCTTCAGGAGGATGAATGAGATAGCTTTTTGCTGCAATGTTCCCCGGTGTTACATCAGCTCAGTTCACTGGATTCTGGACTGAACTCTGCGCCCTGATTAATGTTTGGCATGTCACGCCAGCCACAACCTCACAGTGGGGTGAAGGGTTTTAACTCTTTGTAGAAAGTGACCCTCAACGAGACTGTCTCTGCTTTTGCAGGACCTCTACAGAGGGAGGGGTGTGCCTTGAGTTGGTTCCTTAAATGCTCTGCACACTGGTCACGCAGGGTTCATGGACTCCACTCCCATCTGYCACAACTCCAGACACCTCGTCTCAAACGACAAGCTTAAAAGACAAAAGTGACCCCCTCCCCCCATTCTAAAGTAATGACTAGTCTCAAGGTTTGGAAAAAACAACTTTCTAACCCCCAAAAATCTCTTGCAAATTTGTAGCAGCTAAGCTTAATTRTAAAAACAGATCAGGTCTGGAATAACAAACATATTTATTCTTCAGAGTCAAAAAGTTMATCTTTATTAAATCTACAGCAGCAGCAGCTGACGCCAGTCTAGACCAGTTCAGTTTGTGAGCCTTGTGATACGAGTGTAACACGACACGGACCCAGCACCCTGGGTAGTACTCTTCCTCTTTCTCTTCAGCCAGGCGGAACGGTTTCTAGTCCTCATCAAGCAATCTCAGCAACCATATTAAGGAACGATTTTTATGAACATCGGATTTAGCCAAATCAAGAAACTGGTGGGGRAAAAAAAAGATGATTTGTGTCGGCACGAACAGCCGGTGAAGAGCACCAAATATGAGCAGGACACTGTGTACTTAATCCTTACTTTATGTAAGACCAGCTTAGAGTTAGAGTCCTTGATTTTAGGAGTGTGCAGAGGGCAACAAAATGCATTTTCAAAAAATTATACTAAAATTAAAATGTGCAGGACTTCATAACACTATTGCAAATCGGATTATCTTTCTGCCATAATGTAGTGAACGTATAGGTAAACTGTCAAAGCAGACAAGTCATTTGCAAACAACAATGCTATCCCTTAAGTGTCTTWGCAGATAAACAGCAGAATGCACCAGCTGAACACTTTGTCCCTCCATTTCCAGGTAGAAAAATACAACATCTCAGGGGAAAGCCCATATCGAACATGCTTTGCCCAACAACAACACAGATAATCATCTCACCGTAGGACCTGCAGCAGCCCAGGTGYAACCGTCCCAGGTCGGATAACCCCAGCCCCATTGAGGGTACCCAGCTGGACCTGGAAGACAGGCCGGAGGGTGAGGCCAGAGGACTGCAACCGTGTTTTCAACACCTCCAGTGGGCAGGTTGCAATGGCTCCCACTGTGCCACTGCATCTGCAATTTGATCAGATAAGACAGAAAGATTATGAGTATTGAGATGTTTAAAACTAGAGTTACTTATTGAAGGTTGAAAAACTTTTATATCAACAAACAGCTTAAGAGCTACAAAGCTTACTGAACAATTATGTTCAAAGAATTTTCTTGCTCTGCAATAGAAACAATACCTAAATCAAACAAATCTGGTTCTTCAACTAAGACATTCTAGTTGCACATGAAAAGAACTTTGAACCTGAGGGGGAAGTGTTTTAAAAGAGCACTTTTACAATTCACAAATAAATACAGGTACATAATAAAACTTTCAAATCTGTCACATGCAAACAATACAACCTTGTCAATGACAAGCTTAGAAATCTGAAACATATTAGACCAGTGGTTCCCAAACTTTTTATCTTCTGACCCATAAAATATCCACGGCAAAAACTTGTGACCCCAAATATTACTGGTCTGAGTACACGAACTTCATTAATAATCCTAAAAACAC